AGTCGAGAAACATTTGAGAAATATAAAAGAACTAAGACTTAGGGAACAAGACGGTGATAGTGATACGGAAAAGGTTTATCCTGTCTAGTCGTTACTATGGCCGTCTTGTTTCCGTATCACTATCATATCTATAAGAGAGACAAAGAAGAAAGAATAAATCAAAATGGTCTAAATAGAGTAAAATAGTCGGAAAAGTTCAAAATGGTCAACGGTTTTGGTTTGTTCTACAGTGCAATCAGAAAGTGTGTTAGCAACTAGTGTTAAAAATATTTATGTCTGAAGAAGTTGTAAAACTACAACGAAACGTAACAAATTTTAAATAAAATAATTAGGAAGAGAAACAAAATGAATACTGTGCTCTTCTTTTTCTGCCGACGCACAGAACAGAAGAAAAACAAATGATGAATCGACTCAACAATGACTCACATGTTGTGCAATTACTTGTAGAAAAACGACGCCATAAATATTTCTTGTTAGATATCGAGAAAAACAGTGACATATGCCGTCGTCGACCCTCGAAACATTACCCGATGAAATTTTAATGATTATTCTGCGATATTCTTCCAGCATTTATACTATATTTCGAACATTTTCTGGCTTAAATCAACGTCTGAATAACATTCTTGTCGATAGACGTTTGCATCTATTCACTGATTTCTTATCGATGAATGTCAGTGATGCAAATGTCGATTACTATTACAATTCTATGTTGTTCCGCGATGTGTCTCAACAGTTATCATCTCTGACCACAACGACAGAAAATGACAAACAACTTCATCAATGTCTTCAATCGTTAGTTGTTTTTCACATTAATGAAAGATATAAGCAAATGGAACATGAGTTTCAATCACGTATAAGACAATTTCAAGCTGTACGTACGCATCTCACTCACGAGGAGATTGATAATCTGGACAAGGAACTGAAGACAACGTTCAAACATTTACGCCACTATCCCTATCCGATCAGGCATATCAAACAAATTGAATTCCTTGCTCTTAACAAAGGCGCTCGCCTCGAATGTGATAATAACGGTGAATTTCTTGAATTTAATTTTAATAGAGCAGTGAATGAATTGTTACTTGTGAATATTAAGACTGGCCAATATCCCACGCGAAGATTTCTCAATCCTCTCGTTCAAATGTTCAAAGCACTCATTATTTCGAATCCGAATCTTCTACAAAACAAAGACCAAGTTGGCGACAGTGGTAGTAGCGTACACTACTTCCTTCTTTTTTCGATCTATCGATTACAATACTTTTATTCTCATAGTTCATCTGACTCTATCAATATTCAAGGGTATCAAGCTGCAGTAGATTTACTTCTCTTTATCATAACATGTCTGAAACATGTATTCAATGAGAAGTGTTGGGAGCTGAATAGTTTTTTGGATACATCAGTGATGATTACTTCACGTGATCTCGAGTCTGATCACAAAATAATCGTTCAAACGAGTCAAATGGAAATATTGAAAATTATACTCGATGAATATAGTCGAAAAGAGACAGCACTTTGGAATGAATGTTTTAGTGACGCATTTCGATTAATTCTCCAGAATTTAATTAAAAATGATCGAATCGATGTGATTTTAGTCATTTATCGTCACAATGAGCTCGTACACGATTTCTTTCAAAAGCCGTGGAATAGTCGAAAAAATCTCGATATGATGACTGGAAATAGGATGGGAAGGCAACTATTTTGTGTGCTCTTGGATGAGAATCCACTAGGACCGTGGTTCACAAGTACAGATATGTTATTTATTCTATTACAAAAGAGAGAGTGCAAGTATGTAAAAAAATTATTGAAATTAATACCATCACTCATCGATCGCTGCGACGAGGATGGTAACACTCTATTACTTTTCGTTTGTCTCAAGGTCGGTGGTTGTCGACATTGTCTCGTGAAATTTTTAATCCAGATGGGATGTAATTTACAAGCAAGAAATGTCAATGGTGATTGAAACTCATGTTCCATTTGCTNAAATGTCAATGGTGAAAATTTTATCGATGTATTACAATTGCGAAGGAATAAGAAACTATTCGAAAAATTAATGGAACAAGACGCTATCCAAATTGATCATGTTTTCGGAGAGATAATCGTTACGTCGACTAACCCATCCTAGCGATACTTCTCATTAATCGCGTTACGGATGACACTTTGAGTATCGTTGAAATCAGAATTATTGGTTAGTAATTATTCGTGGTGAAATATTCCTCTGAATAACAATTGCGTTGTTAATTTTCCAAGTATGAATTTTTTTGTAAGATTCGTTCATTTTGAGATCGGTTAATTCGAACTGACTAGGTAAATCACAGGGATAAAGATGCTAAATTGATCGTCCTAAGGCGAAAATTCGCCCACGCAGATATTTGTTTGACGATCGGATTTCTGTTTGAATTAATAATTAAT